TGTGTGTGTGTGTGTGTGTATTGTTTAATGGATAGCAGATTGTTATTACCAGAAATGTCTTTTTTATGGTACATACAGTAAAATGAAGTTGACACTGCACAGCCTGTGAGGATTATGGATATGACACCACAAAAGAATGGATATTGGGTTATTGCTCAGTGCATTTGATGTATAAGGCCTGTAATATTGATCAGTATTGATCAATAACTTCCAGTCTTACAAGTATCTATGATAACACAGTTACTTAAAGTGATTGGTCCAATTAATCGAATCCATCAAATCAAATGATAATTTGCAAAATAAAAGCCAGAAAATCAAAAACAATATTTTCACAATGTACATTATTGTATATCAATAAATACACATGTAGTGGAAACGAAGTGTGTACAAATCATACTTAAATCAACATGTTGTGCATTGACACGATGCAGTTAGCGGACGATGGCGGCCTGTAAATGACACTGGAAGAAATCTGGTGGTTCAAAAACAGAACAGAATCATAAACACCCGTCTTGTACGGTGAAGCTTATCTCGGGTATACACACACAGACTGGTACAAAATCTCCCTGCTTACAACTGCTGCTCAAAAACAAGACTTTCTCTTAAATACATTTCTATCTGGGGAAACGATACGAAGAGTCACAACAACTGCAAGCCATTCCCTTTAGTTGGAGGAGACGTAATAGATTACAGTATTTACACATCTTAGCTACATAGTAATATACGTCAACAAACAGTGACAGTTGTTCCCAGTTTCTTGCAGTGCTTGGGCTAATGTCTTCTCTCGTGTCCACTGATTTAACCATGATTAATACCAGAAATGACCAAGTATCCCATCTTGTGCTTTATTTTCAGAGTCCATTTACTCTCCAAACTTGTCTTTAATACAATCCCGTTTCCTCTTGGTTCATAGTTGTGAAGTAGAAAAGCAGTTATCGGGTATGTGTAGGTGTCTATTTAGTTTCGCACAGACAAAGACACCTATAGCATGCCATGCGACGATGCCATCGACACAGCCATCTGGACGTGGAGTCATTCCTATACTGTATGTATCCAGTTTGTGTGCGGGTTGACACTGACCCTCTGCAGTGCTCAGGCCACAGAGGCCAGCTGAGATAATATGCTCTGATGGTCTGATGTGATATAACATCCTGTTTCCTGCAGTCCTCTGTCCAGGCATACCATAAATATGGCTGCCCACGCATTAAAGCACACCAGCCAGCACATGGGGGAATTATATTACCTTTTTTTTCCAGTTAAACCTTTTTATCCAATCTTTGTGGGAAAAGTCTTTATCTTAATATGAAGATAGAAGCTGGGTAAGTTAATCGGGGATACAGAATGAGAACTGGGTGCGGTTTCAGGTTTTGGGTGCTAAAAGTTAAGGTTTATGGGTCAGACACTGCGGGGCGCCCTCTCCAGTTCATGGGTCCTGCGGTTACGGCCTTTCTGCCTCTCTTGCAGGTGTTTCCACTTGGCTGCCAGCCCCTGAGCGTGCATGTGGGTGTGAGGGTTCACCAGCACCTTCTGCTGCTGCTGCTGCTGCTGCTGCTGCTGCTGCTGCTGCTGGTGCATTTGTCCCTGCTGCACCAGGTGGGCTTTCTGCCTCCTGTGTTTCCTCTCCCTCTTCCAAACCTGCTCGCAGAACTCGTCCACGGTGTTCAGGGTTGGGTGATTCACCAGAGATAAGAAGTCTCTGTACCACAGCTTTCGATTTGGAGATTCTCGAGGTGATGAAAATTCCAGGGTTGGGGCACTGGCTGCAGCCTCCTCGTCACGATGCAGCAAATCCTCCAGGCGCTCAGTGTCAATGACCTCCAAGGTCACCTTCAGAAGTGTCTGCATGAAGCCGTGCTCCACTGCATGGCACAGATAGATGCCTGAGTCCCTCTTGTTAAGTGTGCGAATCAGCAGCCCCTGTTCGGTGCGGATGAAGCGTTCCTCTGATTGCATCTGTAAAGTGATAAAATTGTGTGTGGTAGAAACAGAGTGAAGGACAAAGAGATAAAATTAATTAAATTCAACATTTCCAAATAAGCTTTTATGACACAATTCTTCTTGAAACTTGAATCTGTTATGACTCATGCTGTTTTAATTTGACAAATTGTACTTCAGTTGAGTCATCTGTGGTATTAAATATTAATAAAATAATAATGTGTTTTCTATAATACTCCTACTTACGTATGTACCATATATCATCATTCATTCAGATTGTATCTGAGCATATAGCTGAACACAGTAGGTGTTTGGTGTTTATGCTTCGACTTCATCACTCCCCCAGATGTGATTATATAGATATAATGGGAGCGATGAGCAAAAATCTGTCGGAGGATGCTGGGGTGGTGGAGGGCCGCTAGAATGACGCAGTATCAGCAGGGGCCATGCAAACGGAATGATGGGACATTTGTTGTAGCTTGAATAAAATAAAATCATGGAGGATTTTGGTGAGTGAGGTAGATCACATGATTTAGACAGAGCAGCTCAAGTTGGCTGCCTGAACTAGCGAGTGATGATTGTGTGCTGTGAACATTGTGTGTGAGTTGAGGGTGAACCAACCTCTTGTTTGCGGTCGTCAGTGGAACGCTGATACTGCCAATATGTCAGGGCTCTCTGAGACTTGGGACTGCATTCGAGAAAAGTGCTGCTGTTCTCCACTCCATACACAGTTTTATTCAGAATCGATGGCCCATTCAGTTCATCTAGATAAAAATCAGAAAAGGGATTGTTTTTGTAAAGGTTTTCTCTTGTTTCTTGCTGATGTTGGTTGTGGTCATGGCTTGGTGTCCTGTGTTTCCTTTTTTAAGCAAAAACAATGGAAACTGCTCTGAACAGCCACATCTTGTGAGTTATTCAAATTTTTCTCAGTAAAAAAACAGAGCTTTTCTCTGATTGAAAAGTACTGTCTGTTCCTATAACGATGACTGCATTTCACATCATTTCACATTACCCTGTTTCTCTTCTTATCACACATCATCATGTGCACATCATCATGTGAGGCAGTCACTGCAGGAATTTGGCTGAAAGTACAATTAGGGTTTTATTCTGGGACGTATATAAAGTATATTCTATCCAGGACATTGTGCACTGTAATGTCAGCGGTCCTCTGATTGATCAGCTGTTGTAAATGTCCTGGTTCTTATGTCCTGTGGTAAATTCAACAATTTACATTCAACTGGCTCATATTATTATCTCCTCATCATTTCAAAATACACTTTTTAAAATCGTTTTCTTTATAGAACATTAACTCTGAGATTTTGACCACACATGTACAATCAGAAGTGTTACTGATAACCATCTGGGTAGCAAAGAAGTATTTTTTTCTGGGGCTCAACAAATTCTGATTTGTTTATTCTTCTCAAATTAAATGAAAGAAACGTGACGTTAAGAAAGAAAGACTGTGTATCAGACCACAGTAGGAGTCCTACTCTGGGACTGAGCCCATAAACGGTGGAGGGCTTGGCGACACAGAGGAGGCTCGGAGGAATTCTGACCATGTTAATTATAATCTTCACGCGGACCAACTCTAATCTTCAGAAACACATAAAACACACACAGACACACCACAGCACATTCAGCTGGATTCCCTCCCCTGGTTGCTTGAGAAAAGGCCAGCAGCATTGAAACCATAGCTATGATCAAAATACAACTGAATCCTCAAGACAACGGCTCCTTTCGTTATTTAGCAAGAAAACTGGCGTGACATGTTGGTTATCTGCTTCAATAGGTCATTTGGAAATTGATTGTTTATTATGATGATCATCAGATTTTGTGAAATTCTATTGTGTTCTTACAAAAACATCTATGAATATATTAACGAATATGATATTTATGTACCGTTGTGTTGCAGATCCGAGCATTGTGTGAGTGGGTCTCCGTTCCTGATATCTTGTCTCCTTGTTCTCCTGCAGAAACACAAATATAAACACTGTCATGACTCAGCAGTTATGTTGTGTGCATTGGTTTGTGGGAATATGCGCGTGTGTGTATATTGGTGTTTATTTGAATGTGGTGTGGATGTGCAGCAAAAACACAGGCCAACTCAAAGAGATAAACTAACAGCAGCACCATAAGCATTATAGAAAAGCTTTAATTACAGGGTGTGTTCAACAGAGCAATTCAGATCTAATCAATCACTCCAGCCTCTTGTTTGCAGATGCAAAGGAGACAAGAGTTTCACGTACAGTATCAAACATAAACCTGCGGGTATTTTCTGTAAACAATAATTGAAGAAACTATGGAGAGACCAAAGCAAACAGGTAACTTCACCCTCCCTGTCTCCCATTGTTCTGACCGAGCCCTGGTGTGCTGGTAATTGGAGGACTGAGGAGTTTGCTGGCTGCTTGAATTCTTGAATGTAGGACTCTGGAGTCCAACTAACAGTTGGAACAGGATACTCTGCAGCGAGCACTTGGATCAATAAGCCCCATGGAGCTGTGAGTGGGAGGCTCCACACACATGTGCACATCCACACAGATCAGTGCGCTACTACAACCACACAACCACCGAACCTCTAACACCTACCTCACCCCTGGTTCACCCAGACAGCCTGCAGACATCGCTGACATGAATTCTCATTTACAGTAAACAAATGAGGTTATATTTTCAGCTTTCTGGCTGAAATACGACCTCATGCCTTTGGGGGATTTTTGCAAATATACAAAGCCTGCACTAAAAGTGTATTCTAGCTCCAGTCCTGCATCACAGTCTGCACAGGCTGCATATGTCCTTAATCTGAACATGAAACCACTTCTATATATAATTTGGTTTTACCTCCATAAAGTTTAATGTATATCTTAAACAAATGTGAAACAAGAAGTGCTCAAACATGTGTTCTAAATTTGGCATGTTTAAATCTAAAGCAGGTTGCTCTTTGCAAATCCCAACTGTGCTTCTCCAGTTACATGCGTCCACTGAACGTGTGCTACTAGCAACTTTTTTTTAACTTCAACAATTCAAGGTCTTCACCTGAGCACCTGTCAATTAGCTGCTGTTGGATTCATCATATCTTTAAAACATGCTCAGTGATTTTACAGCTCATTCTTCATGGTGTACGAGGTGTTAAGCAGCTTATGAAAAAAATAGCAGGGTGGCAACATGATAATCATGAATGTGGAGTATGCATTCAGTACCTCTTGGCCATTGGAAAGTATCTGGAGCACTCAGCGCCATCCCATGCACAGTACGGGTCCCTCGCCAGGCAGCATTCGGCACAGGCCTTCCCATAAACCTCACACCGATGCAAAGGCATCTGGGAAACGCCGATGTCTGAGCCCAGGTACAGTTGTTGCTGTGTAGGCAGAAGAGAAAAAGACTCAGATATTCTTTGTCTTACAAGCTGCAATTTTGGCTTGGGTCATGGACAGCCAGTGTTCCTAGTACACCAGTGTTTGTCTTATATTTTCCAGCAAGTCAGGTATGTGAGCAGATCATCTCACTTTAATTCACTCACTTCAATTATCAGTTTTTAATCTCTCTCTGCCTTTCAAGTTGATGTGCTAGTTGTAATCTTTGTGTGAAAACACTTTGGTTATCTATTACTTTCACTGAACTCATTATTGAAGAAATATTATCCTACAGTATAACCCTGATGTTTTGTTCTACTGAACACATTCCTATAGTTTAGATATGACTTCATTTCATGTGATGTTCATTTAAATGTAATGTCATTAAATTTAATTTAAGCACTACAGTTAATACCTGTTTGGTTGAAAGTTCCATGGCTGTAATGGCTGTTGGCTCCTGTAAGAAATAAAAACATAATTGAAAATAATTATCAGACACCATTCTATGATCATACAGTCATCTTTAACCCTGGTACCTCATGTAATGCATGTGACGAGAGTATGACTTACTCTAAACACAGTCATTTCCTCCAACAGGACCTCCTCCAGGTCATGCCAGGAGCCTCGGGGGATTGATACCACTTTCAGAATCGTCCCGATGTCTAGCACACAATGGAAGCACACAGCCTGAGTTAATATCTCTTCTATCAGGTATGTTTATCTATATATTTATATTGTATTTATTGTGTACCTGTGCCGATGAACATAACGTCATACTGGCCATCTTCAGCTTCTACTTTATCCACCACTATCTGGGTGAACTGGTAGTCCACATCTGTTTTGACTATGATTGGTCGGTTGTTAATAGGGTAGACAGGGTTGAACATGGCAGGATGGCTTCTGGCAAAGGTCACAACCTCATCAGGAAGGTCCTTAGTTGTATCAAAGCCTCCAAATGTCTTGCTTGGACACTGTGGAGGGAGGTCATTGTTATAACACTTAGGATGTAAAGAAGAATCAGCTTTAAGATCCTCAATCAATCCAGTTAAGGACTCACTGTGCCAGGCCGTGGGTACGGAACACGTCCCTGGAAGGGCACCCACTGATAGTTGGGTCCGTCTCTATGAGCGTAAGGACCGAGAAACACTCTCCTGATGTCTGTCATGCTGTACATACAAACAGCCGAACCTTTGAAAATGTTGCTAATGGGCAGAAAGAACGAGTCAAGAGAAAGAAAAGTGAGGTCTTTGTTTAAAACACAGATCATGCACTATGCTTTTATTGCTAAAACTTTTCCATCGTCACCCAAAGTACCTGGAAGTGGTAAAAGCTGCGTAGATGATTGGGCTCTTTGGATCCTTTGTGCTCATGAGGAAAACGTCCTCTGAAAGAGAAGGTAATACACATTACAGATATATCCTCCACTGAGAAGGTGGAATTTCATCTCCGTGAGATGACGTGTGAGACAAGTTTCCAGGTGCTGGAGCAGTCACTCACGTAGTTCATCGAAGTGGGTGTCTATTCCGTTACTGCCAGGCACCGAGCAAATGAGCCGAGCTTTCAAGAAGGTGGTCCACTTGTTTACGAGACTCCTGTGACCTCCCAAGTCATTCTGTTGGACAGATCACAGGCACAAGTTCAGCAGGGAGGTTCAATGATCTGGAAGCTACAGGAATAGCATTCCCATCATCACTTTCCATTTCCTTTAATGGCCATATAATGACAATTTCTCTTTAAATGTTCCTTTCCATTTCCTTTCTTAGCTTATACAAAAATATCATTATATGTTGAAAAATGAAAAAACTTGTATATGTTATATGTAGAATGAAGACTTGTAATTCCATTATTGCTGAAGGAAGAGGATATACCTCATTAGCCTTTGGTTAAGTGAGACGATATATAATCGTCCCATATGTGCTCCTTTAAAAAGCCTTTCCCTTAACAAATAATGAAATAAATAATAAAAACTCTATCAGGTGGAGTGAACCAAAACAAAATACTCTGATGGACTAAAATCTTCCACCACGCGCCCTAATAAAGTGTGTCTGTGTGCCTCAGTGTATTGGTTGTTTTCCAGATAGCACACAAACACAATCACAGAATGCTAACTCATAAAAACTTTCCCTCTTGGTGTTGATGTATGACAGCAAGTCCACAGGCCCAAATTAATACCATCTTGCATAATGGAAGGTTTGTCTTGTGATGAGGACAGCAGATTCTTGACATTCTGGTTAATCAGGCCTTTCTGAAGGAGCCCTGATATGCAGGATGGAGGGCTGAGGCTCACTCTACAGATCTGAAGTCAGTTTGGTGTTTTCCTGCTCAGTGGATAAAAATGGGATTTGGAGCATGAAAGCTGATTCAAGTCCAGCAATTTAACAAACATCCCCAGGAGCTGGAGGGTGTAGAAGACCTAATCAGTGCCAAAGCTTGACATTAGGATAACAGTGCTGCCATTGACAGGATCTTTTCCTCTCAGGTTCCAGTGACATTTAACGTTTCTCTCAGGTTTCTGTCTTCAGGGGTGATTGCACCGAGCACAACAAAGCCCACTCTTCTCCAGGCTAAAAATAATCACAGATTACAGCCCCTGAAAGCTGCCATCATGAAAGCCACTCAGACACCGATCAAGTGTTTTTCCAGATACAGCAGCTTTTTCGCATAATGTTGGCGTGAAAGCGTCTGTGTGCCATTGTCTCTCTCCTTTTGTGTGTGTTCTTTTGTGGGAGCCAGCTTGTGTGACTGTGTGTTGGTGTTTGCGTGCGTGTCGTACTTTGCAGAGCTGTCCGATGCGAGCGTGTGTGGCCTTCCCAGCATGCTCCCCATCCATGGCATTCTCTCTGAAGAACAGGTAGATTTTATCATCTTCTGGGTTGTCACTCTCTGGAATCTGATGAATGCCCACAAACCTGGGATCTGCAACACATACAGAGACACAAATATGAAGATACTTTAAATCAAGGTGGTAATCAATTAAATGGAACATTTTGAGTTTCCAGATGAGCTATAGATGATTGACTGAATTAAAAGTTAATAAGGAATTACAATAATGGTATGTGGGGACAAGCATGGATTCATTTCTCAACCCTTTGAAAATATAAATGTTTTTCAAGTCTGTGGCTAAAATTAGGGACCATCGCATCATGGGCACCATCTCTCATTCAGATCAGTTAGTGAGATTCCTGATTTCATTTTATTTGGCAGAGGTTCATATGCAAAAAAGTGAAACGTTATCATACAGCTACTGATAAAAACTCTACAACAATATTGTTTTAAAACTCATCATGATATAGTCAAGATGACCAATGATTCCCTGCTGTTCTCTCACCATTCAGCCACCGGGAGTCGTGTTGCTCTGTCCTGATTGGATGATGCTTGCCAAGAGTTCGAAAAATGGCAAAATCCCGCCCCATGAAGTCAGCTGACGTTCCAGCGTACAATTCTCCATCTGAGAGAACAAGGAATTAATAGTGTTTGAGTAGGAACACTGGATGAGAACACAGTTTGTAGGTAGTGATGCAGGAGTTAAACCCAGGGGCATTGTTCAGGGGCTTAGCGGCACAGGTAAGAATTGGAGTCCTGAGAGATAACAGACAGTGACAGCTGTGATGAACATCAGGGGTGTGAAATTGACATTACCACAGAAGGCAGGGCCGAGAGGGAAAGGCGAGGGAAGAATGAACGGCTGGAGGGACGGATGAGGAGGAAGAGGACAGAGGTGTGATAAAGGGGAGTACATAATCATCATGCGAGAGGGGAGAAAGAAAGCGGAGAGGAGATGAGGGGAGACAGGCTAGAAAATGGCCATCTGCTGGGTTAAACAGCGAGCTGTAACACAATGTGACTGGTGATGATTGGGGGTAAAGAGGAAAGACATGTTCACACAGTCGTGCTTTATTTGGAGAAAATAAATTGAGGATTCAGTGTGAAGAAAACTCACAATATAAAGCAAAGTGTCATTGGCAATTCACACCCGCCACTTGAAAGAGATATATCCAGATTGAAAATAGAGTTTACAGGGCTGTCAATGAGGGGGTTCCCAGTGCGTAAATACAAACTACAGAGCATATCTGCTTGTAATGAATGACAGGAATGCCCTGTTCTGTCATTCACATTTACTTTAGACCCTTTACATCAGCTGAAATGAAAGAGCAGAGGTGCAGAGGGTGTTTTCATGACTCCCAGGTTTTTATATGACCTCGCTGTAACACACAGAAGAGCAGCACCGTGCATCTGTTCCTGAACTCACCAAGTAGCATGGAGGCAGTGAGCAACTTGGGATCATAGGGACTCTTCCCCCGGCCATTTTCAACGTGAGGCTCCAGTCTGAACACACTGTCCTGAACATAGAAACACAGCACATCAGGAGTTGGTTTCTCTGGGAAACCCCAGAACTTTCACATTCAATTATTGAGAAAATTGCAGTGATTTAGCAAAATAAGCCAAATTCTCCATTCAATTTTTTTTAAACCATGATGTTGCAAAATGCTTCACACATGAATCACAGGAAAAAAACGTGATTCACAAGTGCTGCTAAAATTAAATAAAAAAAACAAGTAGCTGTTTTAACAAGCATATAAACAAAAGAGAAATAAAAGTTTGAACCCGCAGATAAATAACACAGTATAATTAAAAGCATTAGGAGAAATCTGAGAGGATTAGTGAGACCAGTGCAGATGTTTACAATCATGTTTCCACCAGCACTCACTGTAACAAAGAAGGATCGAGATTGAAACGAGTAAATTGCATTACTCACTTATGACTTGATGACCTCAACACTCATACGAAACCCATCATGAATTACAACTCAAGGTTCTGATCTACATACGGTAAGTAGTTTTTCTCTGAGATACTTCCTGCCTCTAATTGTCCGTAAATAGCCATCTAATGAATAGGAAATGCACATTTATATGTCTGACTCAGTGGCATTTGAAGGAGAGAAGAGCAATTGCCTTTGCTCATACTCGAATGAACCCACACATAAGTTCCATGTTATGAGTGCTGCATTGGAAACCCTGAGTTTAATTTTCCACCTCAGTTTGCTAAACGAAACCATTTTTATGCACTTAGCAAATCATTTATAAGGAGGAGAATGCGCTCACACCCAAATTTCGTGTCATTTTGGAAACATTTAGCCCGTCTTAAGAGAAAATAATGGTTGAGGTGTTCTTTTAATAGCATTACAGTGTAACATTTTATAAAAAATAAGGACAAAACCTCATCAACGGACAAGTTTTCTTTTTTTATTGCATGAATCATACAAAACCTTTTTATAGCTCAAAACAAAGATGAAACATAATAGTTTTTTGACCGAAGGTGGAGGCAGTAATAGATACAGTATGTAGCATGTGTTCTTACCTCTGGTTTCTTGCCCACCTCCAGGTAAGAACACACAGGGTGGAAGGCTCCGGTCCCACACACATACAGGTGGGTTTGGTTGAACGGCTGTAACACCTTGACAAAATTTGAGCACTCCCTCTGAGACGGCAAAGATAGAAAGAGATAAAGAATCAGGAGGGATTTACATTGATGCAAATTCATTTTAAAGCCACATTTTCACAGAGTTCTCTATGAACTCAGCGACATGAGCGATGTAATTTCCCATGGAATTACGGTGAAATACGAATGACATCATAATAACAAACAAGGCAGTCAACAAAGCTTAACCATAATAATCCCAGACCAGCCAGAATAATATTACTTTACATTGATTTAATGTTGGTCTGTCATTGCAACAGTGATGTAACAGATTTCTCGTTATGTTTCTTAGTACTTATAATGTTACAGTATATATAATGTGCTTCATTTAATATTTTTGTTTCACTGTGTGTGTGTGTGTGTGTGTGTCTGAAACACAACAGGCATCTGTATAAGTCTGTACATACATTTCTCTGTGCCATATGGCATATTTCCTTGTGCCCTGGCAGCTCGTGTTTGAGCAAACCTGACCTCAAATAAAACTGGAAATGTCATTACATACATAGTTGAAAAAAGAAAAATGCAGAAAAAAAAGAATAGCGCCACAAATTATGCATGACTAAGTTCATCTGGCTTTACTGGGTCATCGGCAGACAGCAATCTCTGTTTGTGTAAGCCTCTGTTGTCATTTAAGCAGCTGTCTTTCCGAGGATTTATGTAAGTATTACATATTTGTTACAAGCTGTGTCCCAGTATATATCTACCTATTGTCTTTGCAATATTTAGCATAGCAACCTACCTAGCTTCCCTTTTTTCCCTTACATTTGTGTATCATCACACCTTTCACACCGTTTATCTCTTTCTTTCCTCTCGGCTTCCCGGTCTCTCTACACATCCCTTTAATTCCCACTCTCCCCCAGCTCCACAGTAGAAAGGACCACCCCTCAGGGAACTATATTCATCCTATCCCATGATGTTTATAGGAAAACACAGCTCTCTAAATCAGCCATACAGAACGGGAAAAGGACAGAAGAGCAGAAGGGTGAGAGAGCTCGCCCTGCTCTGGCCAACGTCCAGGCTGTGAAGTCGAGGCATAAACCGTAGAACCATGATTTTGCATTCTAGCCTTGTGCCTTAGGCTGTATTGAAGATAAAATTCATAACACAGCCTCTCAGTGTGTTTACACAGAGTTTCACCACACCACACAGAGTGTCTCTAAAACTGCACTTGGCCAGATACAGGGAGATGTGATGCTTGGCTTGTCATGCAAGGGTTGAGTAAGGTAAGGAGTCTGGAAAGGCCCTGGATTTTAAAATGCCACCACACAAGATGTTTCAGATGAAAGTTTAACTTCAACCCATCAAATCGAATGGAATATTCTTATACTGAACAAATAAATACACTGCGCAACGTTAGAAATCCCAGATGTGTCAGTAGCTCTCGTTTGTTCCCATATACATTACTGCAGGGATCAGTATAAGACTGATGGCTTTCATTAAAACTCTTTCAGCAAAGCTAGTGGGTTAAAGTATATTTCTATTAAATTCAAATCCACAAAAAAAGAAGATTGACTCCTTTCCCCATTTCCAGTAGAGGCCAGTAAGTCACGTTTGTGTCAGAAATTGTGTTGAGTTGCATCTTGTATGATATGAATCAAAATTGCTGTTGCACATTGTTGTGGAGATATAAAAGACAATAAGTGTTCCTGGCTATTTACGTGACACAAACTGGGTTTTCAATGTGCGTCAAAAGGTTGCACCAAAAAAGGTGCATCAACGTCTAGACTGCCAAAATAAAAAGGAAGAAGAAATTAGCTTGTTCACCCGGGTGTCATGTCACTGCTGATTGTAAAAACCTGTGTCTACTGAAGAGCTATTTGACCAAGGAGTGAATGCAGATTGAATCAATTCCCTTGAACAAAAAAGCCAGATGTTTGACGAGTATAAAAGTTTTAAAATCAAACCAAACTTTAAGGTCCCAACAGAGTCACATCTGTTTATTTTGACTGGGGGAGATCTGATTGGTTGTTTAAATGAATAAACTTGTAAACTCTTTTATGCAGAATTTTGAGCACAAAGGGATTAACACAGAAAAACTGAAGTGTAATTACATGGGAACACTAATGCCGATGATCCCTGAATACGGTATATGTATATTATTCCAGCAGTACTGTTCTACCGTCAGGTCTGACAGAAAGCAGCATCATGATTTCCCTGGCTTCATTCTACAGAGTGCCCAGAGGCTTGATGAGTGATTAAGGTCACATGATGTTCTCAATCTTGGCTCTGAGATTACCATCAGATCTATGGTTTGCTACGTGATGTTTTGTCCATATGACCGATTAGATCTGTCAACACACTGGTATAAACAAGCTGAAACGTTGAAACAAATCTTATACTGTGATTAAAATGCCTGTAGATGTAGCACATACAGCCAGTGTAATACCAGTGTAAATACGACATGAGTTTTACTTTGGGACCTGCAGAATTGCACATTGTTTTAAATTGCGAACATTTCCCAAACATATGTGGGAGTGGAGGGGCAACCTGCAAACACCCACTCGCAGGATGGATGGTTTTAGCTCTTACCGAAAGATCTTTTCCTGCCCACTTGCATTCGTCTCTTCTGGTGGGAGAAGCTGTCCAGGGGATCTGCAACACAAACACATTCCCTGTGCATGTTAGAAAGGAATCACCTGCCTGGGAATACATTTTTTACAGATGTGAGTCGATGCAGCCGCAGCTCGTGTGCGTGCATGTGTAGATATGAGGGTTGAAGGGGTCACAGTGCGATTTGTTATCCACTTTGTTTCAGTTTGCTCCATTATTTATCCAGGTGTGCAGAGAGCAGCTAACATGCCTGGCACAGCGTGTGATCGTGTGCGGCCGCTCTGGTCTGAAATATTCATGGGGCACTTTTCTGTAGAAAAAGAAAAGACAGTCCCGAGACACCTGAGCCCCTGACCGGCACTAAGGATGTAGACGCAAACAGACCTGGAGTCATTAAAGGATGAAGCCAACGGACAGACTGAAAATCAGACAGTGATTTTTACCTGTGCATAGTCTTTGCTGATATTGAGGAGGTTGAAGGAGAAGATGTGGTCCTTGGCTCCTACGATGAGTCTTCCTTTCTCCTCGTCCAACAGGAAGGTGTGATAGGATGAACTGTTGGCCAGACCTTCAAACGTCACAAGGTTGTTCGACTCCAACATGTCTATAAAGAAAAATGGAAGGAAAGTGGTGATCAGCACAATGTAATCGTCATTTTATGAAAATCCCACCATGACAGCTGAAGAAAAACCCATCAGGTTTATAT